CATGTAAGTTAATTTTTCTAATGCTGATTAATTTTATAAATTAGTTATATTATTTGAATTATGTTTTCTTTTTTTTTTCGCAGCAATATATACAGTTGAGTTTCAGAATTGTGGCTTGCCCCATGCTCACATTTTGTTATTCATGCACCCCGATTCTAAGTTGTCTACCACTGACCATATCGACCAGCTTATTTTAGCAGAAATTCCAGACAAATCTGTGGATCCAGAGCTATATGAAGTGGTTAAAGACATGATGATTCATGGCCGTTGTGGAGTGGTCAATATGAAATCATCATGTATGGAAAATGGAAAATTTTCGAAGCAATTTCCAAAGGCGTTTACAACAAGAACAACTGTTAATAAAGAGGGATTCCCGGTTTACATGAGACGGGATAACAATTGGTTTGTTGAGAAAAACAGATTCAAATGCGACAACAGATATGTTATTCCATATAATAGAACTCTATCTCTTATGTACAGAGCTCATATCAATGTTGAGTGGTGTAATCAATCTGAATATGTCAATACTTATTCAAGTATATCAACAAGGGACAAGACCGGATTACTGTTACAGTTGAACCTCCAAAAGAAGGAGTATCTATGGAGAGCAGCGAGATTAATAAGAAAGCAAACAAAGAGAAGACAAACGAAATAAAAGATTATTTCGAGGGCATGTACTTATTTTGGATTTTCTTTTGTCTTCGTTTATTACTAATCCATTATTTATAATGTTATATTTAGTTTTTGTCCATATTTATTTTGTTTTCAGATATGTATCTTCATGTGAAGGTGCATAGAGAATTTCAAGTTTCCTATTCATTACAGATTAGTGCCAGTCGAGAAAATCCAGTTTCATTTACCAGGTAAGAAGATAATTATTTTTAAAGAAAATGACACATTCGAGGAAGTCACCAGTCGCATGATGATTCAGAATACATATTTGATGGCCTGGTTTGAGTTGAACAAGGTTAGCTCAGTTTCTAGAAAGCTGATCTTAGCTGAAATTCCAACAAGATTTCTCTGGAACAGACAAGAGAGAAAATTTCAAGAAAGAAAAAGAGGTTTCAGCATTGGGAGAACTAATTATGCACTAAAGACTATTGAGGAAGCATACTATCTACGTGCTTTACTTAATATTGTTCGTGGATGCACCTGCTTTGATGACATAAAGACCTACAAACGTGTGCTATACTCTACTTACAAAGAATGTTGTTTTGCTCGTGGTATATACTGGAAGATGATCAAGAGTATATAGATGATATTATCAGGTCAAGCTACACGAGCACTGCATTCGTTCTCCGACATGCCTTTGTTGTAATGCTCATGTCCATGACTTTACCAATGCCAGAGAAGGTTTGGAAAAATACATGGGAGGTACTTTCAAAAGACATACAGTGTAGACAAAGAAAACATTTGAATAGGCCATGTTTTTTTTATCCCATATCTCTTTTTAAAACATGAAATTGCATTTATTTAGTACATGCAACAGATATATATATATATATATATATATATATATATATATATATATATATATATATATATATATATATATATATTAAAATCATTGTATTTAACCTGGCCTATTGAACAAGATTATGTTTAAGTGATGCTGAAAAAAAAAGGAGCTCTATTGAAGATTGAAAAAATATTGAAACTCAATGGAACTTCATTGTCAAATTGGGAAAAAAATGCCAAAGTCCTTCCGTGATGTTTCTGAGAATCAAAATATTTTGATTCTTGATGAGCTATATCCTACAACCGTGAAGAATTGGGGGAAGAACACGATAGGGACATCGTAAAGATGACGGATGAGCAGAGGAAAATTTACGAGGAAATTATGGAATCAGTTTTAGAAAAAAAGGATGTCTTTTCTTTGTTTATGGATTTTGTGGAACTGGGAAGACATTTTTGTGGAGATTATTATCTGCAGCTATTAGATCCAGGGGGAAATTGTGTTGAATGTTGCCTCAAGCGGTATTGCATCGCTTCTATTACAGGGAGGAAGGACTGCACATTCTAGATTCGGAATACCTATCGATACTGAAGAATATTCTCTATGTAATTTGCCACCAGGTAGTGACACTGCTAATTTGGTTAAAGAATCTTCGCTGATCATTTGGGATGAAGCACCGATGATGAGTAAACATTGTTTTGAGTCATTGGACAGAAGCTTAGCAGATCTTATGAGAACTAAGAAAAATAAGTCATTTGCCCGGGAAAGTTGTTGTATTAGGTGGTGATTTCAGACAAGTATTGTCTGTTATTAATGGTGGCTCAAGGGCTGAAATTGTGTTGAATTCTCTTAACTTATCCTATCTGTGGAAGCATTGCAAAGTGCTCAAGTTAACAAAAAAAAGTGAGTTTCTTGTCCTCTGATATGAATGCTAAAGAGTTGAATGAACTTGAATCATTTTCGCAGTGGATTTTGGATGTTGGAGAAGGAATAGCCGGTGAGGCCAATGATGGTGATGCACTAATCACCATTCCAGATGAATTTTTGATTATGGATGCAAATGATCCTATTGAATCGATCAACATAGAATTTTACGGAGATGTCAAAGCTCTTAAACAGCAGAAAGATCCTATTTTTTTTCAAGAGAGGGCTATTCTTTGTCCGACCAATGAGGATGTCAACAATATAAATCATCATATGTTAGATAAATTAGATGGTATGTACTTTGCTGTCACAGATAATTTGTTCTATATGTTGTTAAGGCGTCTAACATAATTCTAAATTAAATAAATTTCAGGTGAAGAGAGAATTTATTTAAGCTCTGACAGCGTAGACCCATCTGATACGCGTTCCGTTAATGATCAGGCTCTAACCCCGGATTTTCTTAACAGTATCAAGGCATCAGGTTTACCAAATCTCAATCTTCGGTTGAGAATTGGTTGCCCTGTCATGTTTCTAAGGAATATTGATCATGTTGGAGGATTGATGAATGGAACTAGATTGCAAATTATAGATATGTCTGATTTCTGTGTCAAGGCGAGAATGATTTCAGGAAAGAAGGTCGGGGACATTGTGTTAATACCTAGACTGACCATTACTCCATCATACAAAAAGTTACCATTCAAGCCGCGGAGAAGGCAGCTACCTATATATGTAGCCTTTGCTATAACGATCTATAAAAGCCAGGGCCAATCTCTCTCTCATGTTGGAATATTTCTCCCTCAACCAGTGTTTTCTCACGGACAACTATATGTTGCTATCTCCATGGTCACATCCAAAAAATGATTGAAGATACTTATTGTCGATGAGTATGGAAAGCTTCAGAAACAAACACAAAATGTTGTTTTCAAAGAGATATTTCAAAATCTCTCACTTTGTGATTTTTTTTTTAATTTTGACTGCTAGATTATTTCTTTTTATTGTATTTGAAATTTTTTTCATGTTTTTAGGAAAAGATTTTACGCAATTAAATTTTGAATCTTACTATTTATATACATATTATCGTATATACTTAACAGTCAAAACTTTTATACAATTACGTTTGGACCTAGAATTTTTTTCGATTGGGCTTCAACAACTGAAAAAAATAGTTTGAAATTTTTGGGCCCATAAATTTGATTATATCTAACCGTAACATGTTTATGTACATTTTGAATTTCAATATAAACTATCCATGAGGAAACTCTCATAACCAAACATAAATTTAAGGCCCATAAGAAATATGGGGTAATGATGGCTCTTTAACAACTAATTAGATAATTTGTTCCACAAAAAAAAACTTTATTTTTTTACAAATAATTACATACATTTGAAAGAATATTATATCAGTATATTTGATAAAGCTGTTAATTTTTTTATTAATTATTATGTTGCGTAGCAAATATAGCATTTAACTTATTGAAGAGTTTTTGTCGTCAGCATTAAACTGATTAAATATCGAACATAATTTATTTAAAAAGTATGTTAAAAAATAGTTCTATATATATGTGGTGGATATAGCTGTCCTGAGTATATATTTGTGGTGGAAATTTTTATGAATATCGTATCTAACAAGCTTTTTAGGTTATCTATGTAAAGCTAATGATCATATTTGTGATATGAAAATACCATCTTCTGAAGTGATTGAAATAAAAAATAAGTCCTATGCTTATATATAGTATATAGGTTATCGATCTTTATAATGATAATCCGTATTATGATGTAATACATTACACAAATTAATTTATGATATTTTGATATATTGTAAGGTTATACTATTGTTTTTCTAAAAAGGAAAAAATAATAACATTTTATGATTTGGTGTGTATTTGTCAATTGCTTTATATTGTATTGATTTTCAACTTTCTAACACATATAAAACAATTTATTTGTGATAATAACATATATTATAAGTATATTAATTTTTGCACATTTTCTGATTAATAATCATGACATTTTAGAAAAATCATATTTTTAAAGTATTGTTTCTTTTACCAATAAAAAGATGATAACCCTAAAAACTCTTTGGTTAACCTTTTCTCCTATATATACTCTCCTTCTCACTTTCTCAAAAACCCTAATAACTTCCAACATCTCCCAATATCGACTCTCCAGATACTTTTTAGTAAGTTTTACAATTTTCTCTACTTTAGTTTCCTATTAAATTCGTTGATAGTCATAGTTTAGGTTGGAATATAGTCTTAGATGATTTTGAATGTTGATAATTGTTCTAGATCATGATTATATTTAGATGTTATTGTGAATGAACTTTTTTTATATAATTTTGGCTGATTATTGTTGTTACATATAGATCTTTGCTTTTCATGTTCCTTTTTTATCGTAACTGGAATTTTTTGGTCTCTAAACATATAGCAAAATATCTTTGATTAAGCTATTCATCTACATCTTAGAATCTGTTTATAAATATGTTATTTTCATATTTATCCTGAACGATTGTCTTAGGTTAGTTTATCATTTTGATTGTTTAATGAGATTTTTTACTTTATAATTTGTGTAATTTTAGTCTCATTTTGTCATTTTAACCGAAATTAAAAAATCTTAAAACATGCAGAATCTACTCTCCATGGCAAGTAGAGAATTGAAGATGAAGGATCCAGTGGTTGAAGAATCTGATTCTTTTGTTCAGATTGGTTTTAACGAAGGCAAAGAGGAAACCACAGAGCATTACCGTGCTCTCCTACGTATTTACAAGGAGTTTAATGAAGGTGTTAAGGCAAAACATGTGTACGAGGTTGAGGTTGAAAAGCTTGAAGCGAAGATTAAGGTACTTAACAAACTGGAGAAGGTCTATGGCCTGATTAAGGAGAAAGAAAAGCTTGAAGAAGAGCTCATCCCTTCACAAGAAAGGTTGGCTGAGGTGAAAGTGCCAAATCCCGATTGGTACAAGTTGGGTGAATCCTGGTTGGAGAATAGATCTCCCTTCTAAAATAACAAACTTTAGATTTTAAGTATGTTTCTTTATATTTTGGATTTAATGGACCCTTTTTTTTCTGGTAATGTATAATTATGTATCATTTTGAACTTTATCTAATGTTATATAATATGTTTTTTTGTTTTAATTTATCTAATCTCATTATATAGTAAGTGTGATTAATATTTATTTCTATCTAATCACCATGATATATCTGGATGATATATTCGTTTATGCATAGCATTTTAGTTTTTTTTTTACTTATTAATGCCTTAATTTTAGTTTATCCAGGAAACTTATTAAATATCAAACATAATATATTAAAAAATATTAAAAAGTTTTATCTATTTTAACCGGATAATTAATACTCCAGAAAATCAGGTAATAGAAATCCATTTAATATTTCGGAACTGAATTAATTTCAGTTTTTTTTTGATTTTATAGAAAAATTCGTTAACAAGTTATTTAGGGTTTCAAGGTTTGTAATGATGATATTTTTAGATGATAGTGCTTACTTGTAATTTGACTGATTTAGAGTTCTATTTTTCAATATATATTGCAGTCAAATATATTTAGTTTTGTAATGATGTCCGGTGATTATAAATATATTAAAAGTTAAACTTATGATATTCTTTGAGGTTTCATATCTTCAAAAAGAAAGTTATCTTATTCGAACATCAACAATAATAATAACTGATTATGAAACAAATCCGAATACTCCATAACCAACTATATTTGTTTTTTCGAAATCAACAATAATAATAACTGATTATGCAACCATAGCTAATTTGGTTTTCAGAATCATTGTATATATTTGAAAGTTTTTTTTATATGAGTAAAAAATAATACAGTTTGTTAAATATTCTCTTACTTATTATGTTGCGTACCAATATCAAACAAAATAAATTGTATCTAATTAGTTGTATCTATTTAAGTGAGTGTTGATTACAAACTTATTAATAGTCCAAAAATAAGTTCATAGAATAGACCTTTAACATACCAAGAATTATAGATAAATAAATTATTTTATTCTTCTGATTTATTTTAATATTTATATTTTATGCTTATCGTATTTAACAACCTATTTAGATTTTCTATGTAAAGATAATGATGATATTTGTGATATGACAATACAATCTTCTGAACTGATTGAAATATAAAGTTTTAGTTTCACAATTATATATAGGTTATAGGTTATAATTTTGTTTCATTTACCAATAAAAAATTATAATATCTCCACTAACAAAAACTCTTTGGTTGACCTTTTTTCCTATATATACTCTTCTTCTCTCTTTCTCAAAAACCTAATAACTTTCACATCTCCAAGATCGACTCTGCAGATACTTTTTAGTAAGTTTTATAATTTTCTCTACTTTAGTTTCCTATTAAATTAGTTGATAGTCATAGTTTAGGTTGGGAATATAGTCTTAGATGATTTTGCATGTTGATAATTGTTCTAGATCATGATTGTATTTAGATGTTATTGTGAATGGAGTTTTTTCTATTATTTTGGCTGATTATTGTTGTTACAAATAGATCTTTGCTTTTCATGTTCATCTTGTATGTTAACCATAATTTATTTTTCTTTGAACATGTAGCAAAAGATCTTTAATTAATTCATTCATCAACATCTTAGAATATTTTTATAAATATGTTTATTTTGATAATTATGAACTGGAGTATTGTCTTAGTTTAGTTACTCGTTTCATCATTTAATTTGTTTTATTTACAACTTTTTTTTAGATGTTAATCTCATTTGTTATTGTAACCGATATTTAAATATCTTTAAACATACAGAATCCACTCTCCATGGCAAGTAGCATAGACTTGAAGATGAAGGAGTCTGTTGTTGAAGACTGGGACTCAAATTTTCAGTTTGGTTTCAACCAAGGCACACATGAGACTAGAGAGCACTACCGTTATCTCCTTCATCTTTTCAATGAGCGCTATGAAGGTGTGAAGGCCAAACATGCGGAAGAGGTAAAGGTTGAGAAGCTCAATGCGAAGATTGAGGTCATTGTCCAGATGGAGAAGGTTTTTGACAAATTAAGGAAAAAGAAAGGCTTGAAGAAAAACTGTTCCTTGCAAAAGAAATGATGGCTCAGGTGAAAGTGCCACCATATCCAGATTGGTGCAAGTTGGATGAAGCTTTGTTGTATGATTGATCTCTCTTCGTAAATAACAAACTTTGGTTTTTTTGTCTTAAAATTTTGGATGTAATGTTTATCTATTTTGAACCCAATCTTATGTTATATAATTTTGTTTTCAGTTTCATTTGCTATATAATTTTAGATTGTGTTATGAATTTTAATTAGCCTTGCAAATCATTATAATATATTTTGATGATAAATTTGTTTAGGCATATCATTTGATATATTGCTATTGATGACACGAATAGATTTAGAAAAATAAATGGTATCTAATTGTTTAAAAATTCTGAAATCATATTTCAGAATCGAATTATGTTTTAAACATTTATATATATTGCGTAGGATCATATTTAATTTGTAAAATATTTAATATATGATCATAAATCTATACATTTTGGAACAAATACATTTCTAAAACATGATAATCATTGACGTTTTTTGGCTGACAACATATGGAATTCGGCCCAATAATGACAATATATCATAGAGTCATTCTTTTTATCTACTAATAGAAGTTGTCATTTAAATTTGCACTCTTTCTAAAGTGTTACAAATAATACAAGTCATATAGTTAATTGAACCACATTACTTAAATTAAACCGATGGTTATTTATGGGATATAGTGTTGGGCTTACTTTTGTTTTTAGAACAAATTATATAGTTTGGTTTTTGGGCTTAGTATTAAAGAAAAACTACAAAAAAACATTAAATTAACTTTCCATCTTAATGGATAAAAAATCAGTTATTATTTTCAAACCCAAAGGATATTTATTATTTTAAAAAAAAACAAAATTGTCTATTATTAATCATTTATTTAAATCACGTACTTTAAAGCATGTTAATATATTTTTTATTTTAAATAACAATCACTTTATTTTGATAAATTTCAATGGTAAATTTTAAATAATTTATTGTTTTATTTCTCTTATATAATTTACTGATTTAAAAAAAATGTAAAGCAAAACCAAAAACCAAATCTAAAAACTAAAATCCAAAACCAAAAACTGAAAAAACAAGTTATCTTTTTTTGCTTTTATTTATTTACAAATTAAACTATTGCAAATTTCTTTAAATTTTTTTTTCATCTTTTCAGTTTTAAATTAGATGTTCGATTATTTGGGATTTGTTTATTAGTAATATCAGTTCAAACTAACTCAGCGGGTCTAAAAATTAAAAACCCAAACCAAAAGCTGAAAATCAAAAATAGAAACTTAAAAACTAAAAATCAAAAACCAAAATCTAAAACAAAATCTGAAACTAAAAACTAATGAATAACAATCATCACCACAAATTTTGGTGAACTGGTTTTATCCCAAAACATTCTTTAAATTAATACAAAACCCAATTATATAATTTTTTAATCATAAAAAATTTCCGAGCTTTTCAAGCGCGGATCAAAATCTAGTTTCATATTATAACAAAACACTATATATGCTAAGCCCAATTTTTTTTGCTTCAGACCCAAATTTTTTTGATAATTTTATACATATATCACATTTTAGTTAGTAATAATTAAAAAATTATCTATGCAAAACAAATTTTACATTCTATTTGACATTTGGTGGTTATTTTATTATATAATATCAAATATATACAAATAAATAGTTTCCAGTCTTTCTCGAGTAGAATATTTCAAGGTCCGTTTACGTTTTAATGAATCTAAACATATCTAAAACTCTCTGTTAATAAATTTTATGTTCGTTCTCACAATACAACTATCTATACAAAATCATATTAAGTTTAAAAGTCATGTGAACATATATACCATCAAAACATATCCCGCGCTTCCAAAGCGTGGATCAAAATCTAGTCTACTCTATTAAAACTAAAGTACAAATAAAAATTAACCCTTAATTTACGTACAATATTACACTTCATGCCATTGATCAAACCATCACTAACAACTATAACAAACCACCGGATTTCAATTTATTAATTTAACCAGACATTACGTGTAAACTGTCATAACCACTTTAACAAACCACCTCAATTCACGTATGTTGAACCTTAATGTTAAAAATGTATGTTTACTAAACATATAAAAATATTGATCAACATAAAATTAATAATATCAACATAAACCAAAGACTACAACTGATCTGAAAGCAAACCGAAAATTAAATATAATGTGGAAACGAACCGGAAACCAAATACATATACCAAAACATATTAATGAACAAACATACATGCTAAAAAATTTATCAATAACATATAATTATGTGCCTTCAAAAAGCGCAAGTCGTATCCAAAAACATTTAACTTATAGTAGATCTATATCATTAATTTAACTTATTTAATCATTTACACTAACCAGTTAAATATATAAAATTTCTATAAAATATTGATTCATAAAAATATTCTTTTAAGTTATAACACAATCTGTTGAAAGAAAATCTAATAAAATCTTACTAAAAATTTCATTTTTCATATAAGAATACATTAAATAATTTCTTAATTAGTAACATAGCATATTATAAGTTAATATTAATTAAACTTTTATTATAACACAAAAAATAAAGTTTCTATTTTATTTCTTATAAATTTTATAATTATATTCTATTAAAAAATTACTATTTTTATCTACCATAAAAGCCATAATAAATCCATTTCAACTAATATAATTTACTTGATTATTCACATTAATAAATGAAATATATAATCAGAAAAAATATTTACATAATATTTTTATAAAATATTATAAATTAATAATATAATAAATAACTTGTAATATAAGTTAAATATTTTTATTTTATTAACAAAGTAAATTAGTATAAACTGTGTCATTATATACAAATAATGTTGAATAAGAAACCTAAATAATAAGATTATAGAGTTACCAAATAGAAAACAGTAAATTATATACTTGAAACATTTTATACAATATCAAAATTATACTTTTATAAAATAAAAAGATACCCGCACGGATGTGTGGGTCAAAATTTAATTTATTATTTAAATTAAGAAAAGATATTAAATACATAAATCTATTATTTAAATTAGGGAAAGACAACCATGTTTAAATATAGGTTCAATAAATATAGTAATGGCATTCTAATGTAAATAACTGATAAAATTAAAGATTATTTCTATTTGGTAGTTCCCTTTTAATAATGTAGATAAATTTATTTTTCTAGTATCAAGATTATCTTTGTGAAGTTTTTAATTATGAAATCACATTATCTACAAAGCTATATAATTTTCGTGTCAAAATTATAGATATAAGGAAAGTATTTATTACTTTAAAAGTATATTTTATTTTAATTAGTTATTTTTTAAACTGGAATATTACTATTTTTTGAAATTTCCTTTTAAAAAAAAAATCATATTATATTTACATATATTTTCGTTTTTAAATTTAGCTTTTAAATCTTATAAATGTTTCTTTTTTAATATATATTTTATATGGAAAAGTTTTAAAAGTAAACTAAATAAAAATCAATAATAGTGTTTAAATGTAATATTTCTAATTTATTAAGTGTATCAATGTACTCAATCAAGCATAATAAGTACAAAACTGACATTTTCAAATAATACTGTAGAGATTTTTACAAATTGTACTCGAAAAACTAATTTTAAAACCCAAATTGAACTAAATAATTTTTTTTGTAAATCTGTTTTACATTGAGAATATATTAAATAACATTAAAATTTAAAACTAGGGTAAAACAGCCTTACGGGCGCGTGAATAAATAAATTATTAATATAAAATTCTTTTAAATATTTAATTATATTAACTAAAAGTAGATTGATATTCATAAATTTCTTAATACAATTTAACTATTTATTTTATTGTAAATTTAAAAATATAAGTATATGGATGCCTCAAAACAAAATATAAGTATTTTCTTTCAATTTTTATTCTAGTTTAACTATAAGAATAAGTCACGTAAATGTTCTTAAAATTGGATTAGGCATAGTGAAGTTATTTTTTCTCAGTTATATATTTGTTTCCTGAATTAAATTATTTTTTTATACATTGTTTCTTAAAACTATTGATATTACACAATATAAAAGAAGTAACTTTTTCATTATAAGTAAAACCTAGATTTTGATCCGCGTTTGAGAAGCGCGGGTTTTGTTTTGGTTGTAACTAAGTGTATCAAATGATTCGATTTTTATTATATGATAGTTTTATATGTGAAATTTAATGTATATTTAACCCTTTTTCATCAAAAGGCTGATCTACTACTCAAGATTGAGGTGGTCTGGGCAACCAGACCGGAATAGAACAACAACCATACAAAGCTTACGATAAAAGGTTCTAGCCGACTTAGCTAGTGAACCAGAGAAACTGTTCTGTGACCTAGGGACATTGAAAATCTTGAAGTCGGGAAGGCAGATCTTGAGCGTCAAGAGTTTTTCCAATTCCGTAGAGAAACTGGGCCATTCATGGGATTCCTAAGCATCATGATCATCTCTGTGGGAACTGAAATCCACACTGTCGATTTTCCGTCAAATATGGAAACTTAGGGAAAAACCCTAATTTTTCCGAGGTCCTGGATCTCTGCGGAAATCACTAAAACAAACGAAATTAACAGAATATGGATGAAAAACGAAGAACAGAGAATAGAGAATTTGTATGAAAGCTTTATTAAGTAAGAAATCGACAACTGTTACAAAAGAGAATTGAAGAACTTAGACGTCGAAACGTTCTAAGGATCTGGATTGCTAGTTTAAACGCTAATCCTAGATTCCTAAGCTAACAACTGCCTTTTTAGGTCTGATTTCCGTCCCCCTGCTCCTGCTCTATGCCTCTGGCTTATATACTCCTCTCCTAGGCGGTTCAGTCTTTCCATTTTGCCTAGGATCGAGTTTATCGGGAATCTTCCATTTTCCTTGATCCTTCCTTTTCTCCCGGCGGAAATCTTCTATTTATCTTCAAACTTGCCTTTTATCTTCAATCTTGACATTTATATTTCTTCTGCGAGTAAACCATCAAAACTTTATCGTATCTTTGGGTTAAATTTCGTTAATATCACGAGATGGGTTTTTATCGCGTTTTAGGACCTTTCGGG